CTGGTTCCACATCCTCTTCTGAATCTGGCTTGAATTTCTGGCAGTTCCCTGTTGATATACTGCTGCAGGCACTTTTGAATGATCTCAGCAAAATTTTACTTGCGTGTGATATTAATGATATTGTTCAATAATTTCCGCATTCGGTTGGATCACCTTTCTTTGGAATGGGCATAAATATGGATTTCTTTCAGTCAGTTGGCCAGGTAGCTGCTTTCCATATTTCTTGGCATAGATGAGTAAGCACTTCCAGAGCTGCATCCATTTGTTGGAACATCTCAATTGGTATTCTGTCAATTCCTGGGGACTTGTTTTTCGCCAGTGTCTTCAGTGCAGCTTCGACCTCTTCTTTCAGTACTATAGGTTCTTGATCGTATGATACCTCCTGAAATGCCTGAACATCGACCAGTTTTGTTACAGTGACTCTGTGTATTCCTTCCATCTTCTTTTGATGCTTCCTGCATCGTTCAGTATTGTGCCCACAGAATCCTTTAATATTGCAACTCGAGACTTGAGTTTTTTCAGCTTGAGAAATGTTGAGCATGTTCTTCTCTTTTGGTTTTCTACCTCCAGGTCTTTGCACTTGTCATTATAATACTTTACTTTGTCTTCTCGAGCCGCCGTTTGAAATCTTCTATTCAACTCTTTTACTTCATCGTTTCTTCTTTTCATTTTTGCTACTCGATGTTCAAGAGCAAGTTTCAGACTCTCTTCTGACATCCATTTTGATCTTTTCTTTCTTTCCTGTCTCTTTTACGACCTCTTGCTTTCTTCATGTATGATGTCCTTGATGTCATTCCACAACTTGTCTGGTCTTTGGTCATTAGTGTTCAGCGCATCAAATCTATTCTTTAGATGGTCTCTAAATTCAGGTGGGATATACTCAAGGTCAGACTTTGGCTCTCTTGGATTTGTTATAATTTTCTTCAGCTTCAAGTTGAATTTGCTTATGAGCTATTGATAGTCTGTTCCGCAGTCTGCCCCTGGCTTGTTCTGACTGATGATGTTGAGCTTTTCCATCATCGCTTTCCACAGATGCAGTTGATTTGATTCCTGTGTATCCCAACCAGCAAGTTCCATGTGTATAGTTGCTGTTTATGTTGGTGAAAATGGTATTTGCAGTGAAGAAGTTGTTGGTCTTGCAAAATTCTATCATGCAATCTCTGGCATCATTTCTACCACCAAGGCCATGTTTTCCAACTACCAATCCTTCTTCTTTGTTTCCAACTTTTGCATTCCAATCACTAGTAATTATCCATGCATGCTGATTGCATGTTTGATCGATTTCAGACTGCAGAAATTGATTGGTAAAAATCTTCAATTTCTTCATCTTTGGCCCTAGTGGTTGGTGCGTAAATTTGAATAATAGTTGTATTAACTCATCTTCCTTGTAGACATGTGGATATTATCCTGTTACTGACAGCATTGTATCAGGACAGATCTTGAAATGTTCTTTTTGATGATGAATGCAGCGCCATTCCTCTTCAAGGTGTCATTCTTGGCATAGTAGACCATATGAGTCTAGAAGTCCAAATTCAGGGTGCCAGTTCCAGGGGAAGACTTTGTCTCTCTGTCAGTTCTAGGGGGAGGTCCTTGTCATCAATCTTTCCCTGGCCTAGTAGTTTCTCAGTACAGGGACCCTGGATCCGAAGGATGCACTCTGCTTCTTGGCTCTTCTTGCTTGGTGATATTGAGGTCCCTATCTCTCTGCTTGCCTCTCTCTCTTTTTATCTCATGTAAGATAAAAGGTGATGCAGGCTGCACCCTAGGGAAACTCCTCTTACATCTGATCAGAGCTGTGACCTGAGTAAAGCTGTTGCATCTCACCTTAATCCTTTTTAACACAACCTAATCTTGCCTCATTAACCAGAGGCACAGATTAGGATTTACAACACATAGGAAAATTAAATCAGATCACAAAATGGAGGACAACCACAGAATGCTGGGAAACATGGCTGAGCCAAGTTGACACACATTTTTGGGGGACACAACTCAATCCATAACAGCCTCCAAGAACCCTACCCCTGGTGTACACACACCTTCTCCCAGTTATCAAACACCAATCTAGGTGCTGTTGTGAAGGAATTCTGCAGATGAAATTAAGTTCTCTAAGCAACTGATTTAAAGATAGGAAGATTATCCTGGGTAGGCCTGACCTAATCAGGTGGGCCTTTAAAGCATCTGGGCTCCTCCTGGAGATATTCAAAGTTCAAGAGGGATTTGAGGTGAGGGACATTCTCTTGCTGGCCTCGAGAGGAACACTTCTATGTTATGAGAAGGCCACATGAGAGGACACGTGATAGGCCACATGAGAAGGAATGCAGGTAGCTCCTAGCAGCTGAGCATACCCCTTGGCTGATGGCTAGCAAGAAAACAGGGGCCCCAGTCTTACAACCTTAAGGAACTGAGTTTTGCCAACAACCAGAAAGCCTGGAGGAGGACCCCAAGACTCAGATGAGATCACAGCCCCAGCTAACACCTTGATTTCAGTCTTGTAAGACCCTTTTCAGAGAACCCAGTTACCCTGGGCTGGACTTCCTACCCACAGAAACTGTGATGTAATAAATTTGTGATTTTTAAGCTGCCAAGTTTGTGGTAACTTGTTACCCTGAAAGGATGACTAATGCATCCTCTCTCAGTCCTCTCACCTGCACATCATACTGGGCCATAAGGACAGCAAAGCTGCTGAGGTGGGTGCAGTGGCAGGTGGTGTTGGTGTCTTCAGTGCTCACTGTCCTGCAGCCTGTGGTGGCCCAGTGACCACATCCATGTTTCCTATGCTCCCAGAAGACACAGAGCACCTTCTGCCCTGGCCCAAGTGTCACTGGCTGTAGGAACAGGGCACAGATGTGAGCTGGTAGTCCTGGTGCTCAGAGGCGCTGACCCAAAGCTAGCTTGGGAAGGGTCGATGTTCTTGGGGACATGATGCACCCATGGGGCGCACCTCTGAGCCCAAGGCTGAACTGAGCAGCAAGGATGTGTCCAGGGCTCAGGCTCCTTTCACATTCATTCTAAATCCCTCCAGGACTCACATGGTGGGAGAAGATAAAGGTGACTGGGGAGCTGAGCTTCTGAGTGTCACTGTTGCTCAGAAAGGCAGAGTTGACATCTGAGAGTAGGATGGAGGAGACTCCCCACTGCAAGCTCTTGTGTGTCTCATGTAGAGCCGCCTCAGCCAGCAGCTTGCCAATCCCTGGAATGGAGACCAGGCCCACCACAAAAGGGTCTGGAGGACGAGGCCAAGATTGACTTCTTAGAGTCCCCACCAGGGGCCCTTTCCCCAAAGCACTTCTTCTTTATCACCTATTCCTCTTCTTTTAGTCCCACTCACCCCACACTTCTCCTTAATCTTGAATTCTCTGTGCATCACATCCCTGGCTATCTTGTTCCACCACCAGGCCTAAGTGGCCTTCCCTTCCCCCACCTCAGCATTACCAGAGTCTTTAGGTTCTTGTTCTGTGTCCCATTTCAGCAACATCCTTGTGTAATTCTGGCCTAAGGTGACTTCCCTGACTCTTTGCTCCATCACATCCAGAGACAGGTCTATGAGTTGTGGGATGACATAAGGTAAGGAAGTTAGGTTAGTAATTGTGCCAGTAATGTGGTTGATGTAATACCATTTTTTATGTATGTGTATTTATATATTCTCTTTTAATCCTTACATGAGAATAATATGTGCAATTGTATGACAAGAAATTAGATAACCTAGATGAAATGGACAAATACCTAGAAACACACAAACTACTAAATTCAAGCAGAAATAGAAAATTTGAACAGATATACGAAAGGAGCCCTGGTGGCGCAATGGTTAAGAGCTTGGCTGCTAACTGAAAGGTTAGTGGTTTGAACTCATCCAGTGGCTTCTCAGGAGAAAGATCTGGTGATATGTTCCTGTAAAGATTACAGCCTAGAGTACCCTATGGGGCAGTCCTACTCTGTCACATGGGGTTGCTTTGAGTAAGAATCGACTCGATGACACCTAACAACAACAGCAGCAACAACAATATAACGAGAAATTGAATCAATAATCAAATCTCCCAAAGATGAGGACCAGATAGATGACTTCACTGATTAATTCTACCAAACATTTAAAGAAGTAACACCAATTCTTTGCAAACTCTTCCAAAAAACAGAAGAGAAGGGAACGCTTCCTAACTCATTCTATGAGGTCAAAGCTAGGTAAAGACATCACAAGAAAAGAAAACTATAGATCATTCACCCTTATGAATATAGACACAAATATTCTCAACAAAATCTATATGTGTAAATTTAATCAAAGAGTTGCAAGAATTATTCACTGACAACCACTAAATGTTGCTGAAAGAAATAAAAAAAAAACCCTAAATAAATGGAAAGATATCCTGTGTTCATGAATTAATATTATTAAGATGAAAATACTACCCAAAGCAATCTACAGATTCAGTGCAATTCCTACCTAAAATCCCAATGACCTATTTGCAGAAATGGATACACTGATCTTAAATTTCATATGGAATTGGAAGAGGCCCTGAGTACCAAAAAAAATCTTAAAAAACTATAAAACAAAAAATAATACACATGAGGAATGTGCTTCTTTGTTCAATCAGATATACGAGACCAAATGGGCAGTTCCTGTCCGAAAACAGGATAAGGAGGCAAGAAGGGACAGGAACCGGTCGAATGGACACAGGGAACCCAGAGTGGAAAGGAGGAGTGTGCTGTCACATTGTGGGGATTGCACAAAACAATATGACTATAAATTTTTGAATGAGAAATTAACTTGAGCTGTAAACTTTCACCTAAAGCACAATTAAAGGAAAAAAAAAAAAAGGAACAAAGTTGGAGGACTCACCTTCCTGATTTCAAAGCAACTACAAAGCTATAGTAATCAAAACAGCATGGTACTATCACAAGGATAGATATATAGAATGTAGGCTAGAATTAAGAGTTCAGAAAAAAAACCCATATGTCTATGGTCATTTGATTTTTGACTAGGATGCCAAGACCATTCAATGGGAAAAGACAATTCAACAAGTGGTGCTGGTTTAGTATCCAGAATACATAAAGAACTCTTATAACTCAAGAAGAAAGCAGACAACCCAATTCAAAAACAGGCAAAGGACTAAAATAGACATTTCTCCAAAGAAGATACACAAATGACCATCAAGCACTTGAAATAACATGCAACAACAAAATCACTAGGAAAATGCAAACCAAAACCACAATAAGATACCACTGGAGACACACTAAACCAAAAGCCAATTGCTGTTGAGTTGATTCTGACTTATAGTGACCCTATAGGACAGAATAGAACTGCCTCATAGGGTTTCCAAGGCTATAAATCTTTACGGAAGCAGACTACAATATCTTTCTCCCTCAGAGTGCTTGGTGGGTTTGAACTGCTGACCTTTAGGTTAGCAGCTGAATGCCTTAACCATTGTGCTACTAGGGCTCTTTACATACACTAGAAGGACTATATTCAAAAGAAAAAAAAAGAAAAATAAAAATAATGAATGTTGGCAAGGATGTGGAGAAGTTGTAACCCTCATACATTGGTGGCGGAAGTGTGAGATGGTGCAGCCACCGTGGAAAGCAATTTGGCGAGTCCTCAAAAAGTTAAACACAGCTTTGCAATATGACCCAGCAATCCCACTCATTGGCATATACTCGGAAAAATAAAAACTCGCATTCAATCAAAAACATGTAAACAATGTTCATACCAACACTATTTGAAATAGTCAAAAGGTGGAAACAAACTAAATGTCCGTCAACTGGTGCATGGATAAACAAGGCTTCTTGATCTATCTAGGCAATGGAATATTATCCATAAAAAAGAATGAAATACTCACATATGCTATAACATGGATAAATCTTGAAAACATTATGCTAGCTGAAAGAAGCCAGGCATAAAAGGTCACATACTGTATGATTCCATTGGTTACGTGAAATATTCTAAATAGGCAAACCCACAGAAACAGAATGCAGATAGTGGTTGCCAGAGGCTGGGGAAGGGTGCAATGGGGAGTGACTACTTAATGGGTGTGAAGTTCCCATTTGGGTTGATGAAAATATTTTGTTACTAGATATAAGTGATGGTTGTACACCGTAATGATTATTCTAAATGCCGCTGAATTGTTCACTTTTTAATGGTAAAAATGATGATTTGTATGCTATATGAATTTTATCTCAATCAAGAAAATCATACTTAAATTATAAATAATATAAAAATTTGTATCCTTCCAAATGCAAGGAATCGTCTTTGTTTGAAACAGTGTCTAGTTTGTTAAATTCTTCCTAATTATTATTTAATCTTCTGATAATTTATATTATAATGAAAATGTATACTATTGACAGTTTTATGTATTTCTTGTTTTCTTTGATTTTAGTTTGTTTATGAGAACAACCCAGGACACAAGTGTAGTGCCTCAACTCCAGTGGCGCTGGGGGAGGATTTGGCAGGGAGCAGGCAGAGCAGGAGACCTGGACAGAACCAGGGACTCACCTGTGCCTGCACGAGCACGCAGGGTTAGGGGCCCTTTGGGCAGGAACTTGCTCAGGACTTTCAGGACATTCTCCAGGCCATCAAGCAGGTTAGTGGCCACACAGTGCTGCTCTGAGTGAGACAGGTTCTCCAGGTCCCCGGGGGTCTCCAGCAGCTCATCCACCTCCCATGTGAGGTTCTGGAGGATGAGATGCAGAGCTCATTGGCCACCGGTCAGAGGGGCTGCCCAAAGACACTGACCAATCAGCTCCAGAGAACAGACCCTGGAGACTGTCTAGTCTGGGGGATAAAGGTGGCACTGGATGGGAATCCCTGGGAGTCCTTGCACCTGGGACCCCGGCTCCTCAGAGGTCACCCTAGGCAGGAATATCAAGATGCCATAACTAAGAGCCAGGAGCAGTAAGAGAAAAGTGCACTTAGGTGTCTAAGAGTGTACCGAATACCCATCTTGAATATCCTCCTCCCACCACCCACCCCGGAGAGGCAGGGCTCAGACCAGGGCTCTCTCCACTGAAGCCGGTCTCCCTCGGACCAAGGATGCCCGCGGCCTACGTGGGACAACTCCACCGTGTCTCCCCTGGGTCCCATCCTTACCTTGATGGTGTAATGAGCTGAGTCTGGCTTGAAGTCTCTGCCCAGATCCTGAACTTTGTCAAAGAAGCGGGAGAGGCTCTAGGGAGAGAGACAAAGGGATCAGAGAGCCCAGTAGGGGGGCCGGGAGGAAGGGCAAAGGGGCGGATGCTGTGCGGAGGGATTTCCTGCTTCCTGGAACCCGCCGGAGCCACTTACCTGGCTGCTGACTCCAGAGGGCCGGGTCCAGGAGGGGAAGGACATCTCTGCAGGGACAGGACATGGTTTACTGGTTGGGAAGGTGTGTGTGTGTTGGGGGTGGCGTCTGGGGTCAAGTAAGGTCAGGTAACTTCACATTTGGTAGTCATTTGGTTACTCTGGAACCCGAGTTTGGGAGTCAAGTCTTGTTGACAGCGGCACGTGTATATTTCCTTAGTATAGATGCAGGAGGTGAGACCCAGCCCGGGTCAGGCCCCTTCTCCTCTGAGTGCCTCACCCCTTTCTTCCTGGTATTAGTCCTCTTCCCCCAACCCGAGTGAGATGATGCCACCTGGTGATGGCACATCCCCGAGTGGTGGACGAGGTGGGGGGGATCATGGGAGTGTGAGGAGGCCTGACAGGAAGCACATGAGCCCCTACAATGTATATGTGTGACAGTATTGAAACACCTTCACCCCAGTCACTAATTAGCTGCTGTCTGCGGCCCCCAGGGATACTCCCCCTGGACACCCAGCTTCTTTCCTGGTAGCTCCGTATATTTTCATGGCTAGTCTCAAAGGAGTTGCTTGCATGAGACACATGAGGAAGGTCAAGGGGGTGCTCTCAGGGGCAGGGGGCTCTGCAGGGGAAGCCCAGTTCCAGAAGGCCCTTGCCCGGTGCTGGGACCTCTGGTGAAGTGAATCCTTGGGCAGGGCCTTAGGGGGCCCTTGGCCTTATAGGAATCTCAGAATCTTCTCCAGCCTCCTAGGGCTGTGTGACCTGCCTCCATCCATACCTGGTGTTATGGACGGAATTGTGTCTTCCCAAAATCTGTGTTGTAAATCCTAACCTCTAAATCCATGGTTATAAGCCCATTTGGGATTCGGTTTTCTCTGTTATGTTAATAAGGCAGGATTAGTGTAGGGTGTGTCTTGAGTCAATCTCTTTCGTGATATAAGCCATTGCTTGGTTTTGATTCCAACTCATAGCGACCTTATAGATCAGAGTAGAACTGCCCCCTGGGGTTTCTAAGGCTGTAAATCTACCAAAGCAGGCTGCCACATTTTTCTCCCACAGAGTGGCTGGTGGTAAGCAGATGAGTGCTTTAACCACTGCACCACCAGGGCTCCTCCTTTTGAGATATAAAGGAAATTAAACAAGCAAGCAAAAGAAGGAGAGATGGGGAAGATAGATGCCAAGCCACGTGGAGATCTCCAAGGAACCAGGAAGCAGAAGCTGAAGAAACAAGGACCTTCATCCAGAGCCTACAGAGAGATAATGCCTTCCCCTAGAGCTGGCACCCTGAATTTGGACTTCTAGCCTCCTGTACTGTGAGAAAATAAATTTCCGTTTGCTAAAGCCACCACTTGTGTTATTTCTGTTAGAGCAGCACTAGATGACTAAGACAGGCATCAAGCCTAGGTGGAGGCGGCACTTCTACTTCCTGATTGTAGAGGCAGTGGGTGGAGCTGTGGCACCTGTGCTGCCTGGAGCTGCACTTGTTCATGTCTGGGGACACAAGAAGAGGGTCAGGCCCTGTCCCAGCCTGTCACCGCTTTCTTCCTGGTATTAGGCCCCCCACCGTGTGTGAGATGATGCCACCTGGTGATGGCACATCCCTGAGTGGTGGACGAGGTGGGGATCATGGGAGTGTGAGGAAGCCTGACAGGAAGCACATGAACCCCTACAATGTATA